TTCTAATATCCAGAAAATATGTGAATTCAAGTCCCATGGTTACAACAGTCTCTGCCGGTTGTTACCAGTATGAGAGAGTCATCTCCCAGTTCATCCATGTCACGAAAGCACATGTCTGTGATGTGGTTGTCATGGGGAGTGTTTATTCTGGTGTTCAGCGTAAAGCTATAGAAAAAGAAAACAGAAGCTTGCCATTCTATTTCTTTTGGAACTTGGGGAAGACTTTAGTTCAAGTTGGTTCTGGAATGGGCAGGGAGAAGAGCAATCAAAGGAATTTCTAATTAAGACAGCTAAATGATATTGCATTAACAGATCAGGTTTCCCTAGTGGCTTCCATACAGTAGCTCAGAATTACCACTAAGCAGGCATCTTTCAAATACTCAGCCTGAACTCTGGACAGTCTTTCTGGTACTTAATCATGTAGTTGATCTGTGTAGTAGCTGTCTTTTGCCTTGTTTCTTTAAGAAAATACCAATTTGTTGTCAAAATGTAATTTTTTTAATAGGAAAATTAGGGAAAGGGTATTAGCCAGATGCATATGTTAGCTGAAGAAAAAGACCAACAATAAAATTATAATCTTCTCTACCTCCTGGAGAAGGACTAATCAATTAATGATGGATTACACATAGATGGGAAAACTATGCAAGCTATAGAACCATTCTGCCAGGTTCATGATTTCTAATATCCAGAAAATATGTGAATTCAAGTCCCATGGTTACAATAGTCTCTGATTACTGCAAATAAAATAGATCCAGAGCAATTATTTCCTGTGGGTATTCAGTGCAACTCTGTGCTCTGCCGCAGATGCTGCAGTGTGCACGGTAACTTCCCAGATCTGGAAAAAACTCTGCCTTTGCAAGGCAACGTTTGTGCAGGGATTTGTGTGACTGACAGCGGCAACACCAGCTGTGGTCACTACCTTTGTGTTTCTTCACTGTAGAACCACAGCTTCAGCTGCAGCTCAGGGTCAGTCACTTCTTCACTCTCCTCTACCGTGGCCAGCCAGGTGCCCTGAGCGCTGAACGCGACCTTCACCAGGTCTGACTGCTTCAGACCCGCCTGGTGGATGTACTGACGCTGCACAATGTCCAGCTGCAAAGCAAGGCCACAGGTCTATTTTAAAATTCAGGTAGAGCTGTAAGAGAAACTACCCATGAAACCGTGGAAAAAGCATGTTCTGAAGGCTCCAGTTAGACCTGACTGGGCTGTGGCACAAAGAAGTATGCCAGCATGTGGGGAAAGCAGAACTAGGGCATGTGCATTCCACAATGATGCCAAGTGTGGGAAAGCATGAAAAGTAATTTCAAGGTGTTTTACTTACAAATTTTTAACAGGATAGCACAGTGTTTTAAATTACTTTTTTCAGTATCTAGATTTGCTTAGCAAGTGAAGTCAGAGATAAAGCCAAGAACATTTCAGACTAAAATCCAGCCTTGTGGGATAGGTGCAAGGTTTTTTCCCCATTTGCCATATTAAGCCTTTAAATGAATTGTGATGCACAAATTACTTGATTAAGTCAAACTTGGTACAAGCCCATCCAACTTACACTGAACAACTGCTGGTCACTCTGGAGGGAATAGAACTGCAAGTGGCCTGGCTCTCCATTCAGGACCAAAGCTTTGGTTCTAGGATCAACCACTAGGCCAGTCTTGACATCCCTACCTGGAAACAAAAATCAGGTGACAAATAACCAAAGCTGTCAAGTGACACATTCCACCCTCTAAGTGGAAGATAAATTTTACTGCACTTACTTTTGATTAGCCCTTGAATACTTCTGGAAAACCTTAGGTTGCTGTTGATTATCGTAATTCCTGAAAGAGAAAGCAGACAAAGCCTTACAAAAGGCACACACCTCATGGTGGGAAAGGGACTGTAACCATCTGTACTTTAAATGTATCTTTTCCCAGTTTATGACACCAAGGTGGAAAAAGACAAGTTACAGCAGTCACCAGGCAAATTCACAGAACCGATAAAGAGCAAAAGAACAAGCATCTGGTTTTTTTCAGATCACTGAAATTTCAGATCACTAAAAAAATCACTAAAATTTTATGTAGTTCTTAGCTAATTCGTCCAAAACAACAAAATAAAAATTTGTATTTCCATTCAAGTGATATTTGGACGCATTTTGGCTTACTGTTGTCTGTGTGCAGGGTGCAGCAGAGAGCACCATCAGAGGACATGGAGATGTATTCGATAGGAGACCCCAAACGAGGCAGGAAATCCTTTTGGCATGAAGATTCATTGTGCCACTGGACTAGAACAGATTCGACTCCACCACTCAGCAACCTGGTTCCTTTTCAACAAAATAGTTATAAAGTTTTGCTTAAAAATAAATAAAATCAGCAGCCTGTATCTTCACAATGACAGACAGACACGAGTTCCTCAAAACTTTTTAAATTGTCACCAGTAAACAATTAAATCAAGCCTAGGCAATACACACAGACATGATTCTCAATATCCCCTGTTAAATTGCTAGAGAATTAAGTAAAGGATTAAGTAAAAGGAGCTTGTGTCTACAGTGGAATTTAAGCAATGCTTTGGGAGCAGCAGATCCCATTGCTTTCTGAATCAGTTGGATATTTGTGTTAGGATATGGCTGAATTGCTCTCCTTCTGTGAGAAGTA